CGTAGATGGACTCGTTGCGCCATCTATGGGTGGCGATAACTTCCAAATTAATGTCACAGGCATGAACCAGCGAAAAGGGTAAATTATTTGTCTACGCGAAAAGGACGCGCGCCAAGCCGCAAACCAACAAAAACGAGCATTTGTATTTATGCTCGCCCTACGTGCATACTCGAAAGGCTTCTGGAATGCCCACAACTGCTCAATTGACCGATTACACCGCTTTATCCTCTACCCATAGGGCACTGTCGGAAATTTTTTTTCAACAGGGCAGCGATTTCGAACAAATGGACCGCTCCGCAGCGCTGTTCGCGCTTCGCGCGGATATCCGGCTGCAGATCGTCTAGCAAGTACTGAACCAAATAATTTTATATGCTGTATAACGTCGACATGCTGAAATTTCACAATGCGTCTTAAACATAAATAAAGTTCTGATTTAATAAAAAATAAATGTGTGGCTATTTAACATTAGCATATTAAAAACATTCATAATAACATTTATGGCATGCATGGTTCACATATTTTCCCAAACATGGAAAAGCAATACGCTTATATTGCTACACATTGTTAGGTGGGGTGCTGCAATCTTGGCCAAAACGTTCCACGTGGACGTGGTCCTAAGCCGCTTATGAAATGCCACAGAATTGTTATATGCTGCCAATAAGACCTATTCCGAATCAATTTTGTTTCAAAGAGATGTGGCCCTGGCATTATCCCACAACTGTAATATTATTAATTGGAAGCAAATGTATCTAACTAACTGTGTGCAATTTGTTAAACGTCACACTTGTTGTTTAAATTAAATGTGTCTTGGACATTACACTGCGGCACCTGCACCTACCAATATATTGTTATAACGACTAGACAATTTTATGATCAAATTACCTTTTCAACTTCAATTTCAGTGTCAATAAATTGCCTCACCATACCACTTATTTGACGTTTCTGTCCATACTTATCTTCAAGTAAGATATATCTAATCCTTGCAGTTTTATCCTTTTGAGTACTCGTGCTCATGGCCATGGTCTGGAATAGATGAATAACTATTAAAGGTGTTGAAAAAACAACTAAAAAACTGTTTTGTTCAAACGTACTATAATCATAGGTTAGAATACCAGAAATATTATATTACTGTGTAGCAATTTGCATGAAAAAATCATTTCCCCACATAATTCTCATACCAAAGCAGCATTCCAGAAGCTTAAACAATGTTTGATTGAGCCACCTATTTTAGCACTATAGAAACAGGGCTGCCAACATCGAGTTATAGTTAAGAGTGAGATTATGTGAGGGAGCGGAGAGACCGAGCGGAGGGTGTGAACGGGAGGGGCACCCGCCTCCCACACCGGGGAGCTTTTGCATTTTTCAGCTTGAAATTGTGCATTCTGGTGCACTCAAGTGAGTTTTTAAACATACACATGTATGTAATGCAACACACTGTAGTTATGGTTTTAGATGGATTAGGTACATGTATATATATATGGATGGCTCAAAACAATGCATCACAAGGTCCTGCTTGGAATTTATATGACCGCTACTGTTCGGTCCTTTACTCTGCTTATAAGGTGACAGTCAAATTCAATCTGTATAATAATGACTTATGTTATGATTCTTGCATGGCATATGACATGCTAAAGTATCCCAGATAGCATGCTTACGTTGGGCCAACGTTGGCGTTTGGTTGGCACGGTCACGGTTGGCAATATGACGTACAACGTTGAGCTAACGTTGGCACGGTCATGGTTGGCATGTGGTTGGCAAAATGACGTTGGGCCAACGTTGGCATATGGTTGGCATGGTCACGGTTGGCAATATGACGTACAACGTTGAGCTAACGTTGGCACGGTCATGGTTGGCATGTCAATATGAATGCTAGTTTGGAAATGGTTGGCTGCATGACGTTGGGCCAACGTTGGCGTAATGGTTTGGCACAATGGCTAGTTTGGCCAGTGTTGGCTACATAACGTTGGCCCACGTTGCGTATGGTTGCGCATGATGGCTGGTCTGGCAAATGGTTGGGCTGGCATGATGTTGGGCCAACGTTGGCGTATGTTGGCAGTGATGCTAGTTGGGCAGTGGTTGGGCATGTATGACGTGGCCAACGTTGGTGTATGGTTCGTGCATGGTCCACGGTTTGGCAAGTGGTTGGCTGCATTGACGGTTGGGCCATACGTTGTCAATAATGGTCGCAATGGTCGGCGGTTTGGCAAATGGTTTGGCTGCAATGACGTTGGAATCCAACGGTTGCCGTATGGTCGGTATGGTCACGGTTGGTCAAATGGTGGCTGCACATGAACGTTGGGGCCAAGACGTTGGCGAATTGGTTGGCATGGTCACGGTTGGCAATGGTTTGGCTGCATGACGTTGGGTCAACGTTGTGTATGGTTGGCATGGTCATGGTTGGCAAAGGTGTTGCTTGCATGACGTGGGTCACACGTTGGCGGTATGGGTTTGGGCATGATCACCGTTGCAAATTGGTTGGCTTGGCATGACGTTGGGCCAACGTTGGGCGAATGGTTAGCATGGTCACGGTTGGCAATGATTGGGCTTGAATGACGTTGGGCCAACGTTGCCTGTATGATTTGCATGATACTAGTTACAAAGAGAGCTCATTTTAATTATAGTTTACGGGTAGCCGGGCATGTTATAAATTGTTACAGGACATGCACCATGGTGCGCTACACCACTTTGTGTTGCAGGGCATTAACCCTATAGCTAGATTAGTAACATATATATTGTGCGTATTAAACCATAGTTGGCGTATCATTTGGCATGATCTAATAATTCAGAGATGCAACCATTACGAGATTTAAATCTGTATTTTATGCAAATTTCGTTGCATTTTGAACGCACTTAAGACCAGTTGTTGCATACACTAACGATTTTTATTAATGATCAAAATATTTTTTATGATATTTCTAAGTGTTTTTGTTTCAGGTTACATTTGATATAACATGATTGAGAACATAACAACATGTATTTAGGCAGGCAAATATTAGTGTGAAATTATTGTCATTTTGGGTCCAGAATGGCAGGAAATTGCATCTCGGCCCACAGTCAAAATTTTTTCGCAGAGGGCATGCCCCGAAACCCCTAGACATAGCTCGGTCATTTGCGTGACCACGGACTAGAGATTCAGATATCCTACACTACAGTTTTGCTCAGAAAAAGTGTTGCATCTCTGTATAAGTAACAAAGGTTCTTCATTTTAATACTAGTTTACGGGTGCCGTGGCATGTTACAGAATTGTTTACAGGCACAAGCACCGCATGGATGCTACAACATTTCTGGTTGGCAGGGCATTATACTATATAGCTAGATTAGTAACGATATATATTCTAATCTTATATATATAGTATATTATACTAATATTATAATATATAATATATAATATATATATAGTTGTAGTATGTAGATAATTAAAAGCAAGACATCACTTTTAGGCTGTTACTCCAAGTTTCAACGGCTTGCAAATGCATCAAGACAACTTTAATGAATAATAACGGCTTGTATACATTCATAACCTATATAATCATGAATGACGGGCACTATTGAGTTAAAAGTCGAACACAATATACGAAGCAGAACAACATCCTTTAATTAATATGATCTACTGGACTTTGGTAACTATGGCCACATAAACGTTTCGCGCAGGCAACCGTACGGCGGGCTATAAGTTACTAGAGGCTAAGAACTACATAACATTAGATAACTAAAAAATAGCGCGCCATTCATGTTTTATATAGTATGGAATGGCATACAAGGTTTATTATTCATTAAAGTTGTTCTGATGATCGC